TGGATGGCATCTTAAGGTTAGACAGTCGATGAAGTCATCTGAAAACTTAAAACATTCAAAAAGAGATCGACGCCAGTTCACGTTTACAATCATAGCTGAGATCCTCACAGATGTATATTCCGGATCCAGTCAGTTTGCCTGAGTTTCTTAGAATTTGGTATCTTTCTTCAGCCAAAGCGAAGGTCACCTTTAAGAGGCGGTTATACTGAGTCTTTTCAGAATCCACTTTTTGTCCTACCAAATAAAGCTTACAGATGCCAACTTGTGAAACTGTTTCTGGGGGTAGCCTGAACATTAAAGACTTAATATGGCTGAGATCGTACTTAAATCCAACCTTTGGTTGCCTATTGGAACATTCTTTTGATTTTGGAAGTCAGTCTTAACGCTCTGTGGAATTGAAATTCCAGAAATCTCTTCAGTGCTGCCCGATTTCGGGTCAAACACATAGGTCATACTATGTTTCTTTACTTTTCTTTTTATGGGTATGACTGTTAGCCAATCATTAATTTTATTACGTCGCTTAATCACAGCATCTACACTGCTCAAGCTTTCCTCTCCTATAGTTTTTTCTGTTGATATGTAAATCTGGAGCCGAAACCGTAGGATCACATGTCATGCTGCTGCGTAAAATTTGTTTCTTCTCGATGTGCCTTTTCATATTTCTTGTAACGATACATACATTTTTGTGCTTGTTATCCGTCTCTCTAATGAGGACCACCTTGATGGTGTAATTCGAATTCAAGGCTGGGCTCAGGATAACACTCTCTGTTTCCTCGAAAATTGAAGTCTTCTAGTCTACTGTTGCTTGTCTATCTGAGGGCGACTTTCTAATTACTCTCAGCAGCTCAATCACCTTACAAATCATCAGAGAATTTGTAGAGTATGATGCTTTGCACAGTCAATGGGATAGTGGCTTGCAGCATCTTTTATATGCAACCAGTGTGAGTCCGGTGCACACACAGTGACTGAACGTATTGCAGTTGTCACATTGCATTCAATCATCAACAGGGAAATAGCATACAGATCTGCCACAACGTTGTTTTACGTGCTCCTCAAATTTGTTCTGGGATCTCAAAGAAAGAACAACGGCAAAAACTGATCTCTAGAATAAGTGTCTTTTGAGGCTCGATAGGTGATAGACACTGAACACAAACAAAAACATATGTTCGTATATTATTGTAACTAACAAAAAAAATTCGACTTAAGCAGATGCAGAAAGACATTAACACCTTTGGGTACAAACAATACTAAAAGATATACTCAGCAAGGGAAAAAACACTGGTGCCATATTTTGTGTTTGCACTCAAGACGCACATGTAATAAATTGCTTAAGAAAAAAGCGATACTCTTGGAGACTACTTTAGCTAAAACAAATTCAACCAAAGCAAAAATAGTAGTCTTCATGCGCAACTAAACGGTCGATACTACAAAATATACTCAGAAGAAAAATACCACTGTCCTTTTTGAATAGCGCTAATTGTCTCGAATGTTTTACAGGTATGCATCCTTTGCAAGGATAGTTGAGCATTATCTAAATTGCGGAAATCTCTAAGCGACCTAGGAGTGGCCACAACTGTGGGAGATTTGGAATAAAGACAGGCCGTCGTAGTTCAGTCGCAGTTTCAGTTCGCTGAAACTGACTTGGCTTAACCAATTTTCTAAAATCCTCCGCAAACCTGTTTTCAGTCCAATGTAGCGGTATACTCCTGTTTCCAGAAGCGTTAGTTCCACACTATGGAAACAATTTAGTACACTTCTGACGGACATGAGGAGTTCTGGAATGCACATTCGAAAAAGGTCCAGAATTCCCTTCACCTTCACAGTTATTTCACCTCCTTTGATCGTCTCAGTTACAACTCCGTCTAGCTGTTGCTTCATTGGGAGATTGTAGAGCCAGTGAGATTTCACTGAGCCCTAGCTAAATCATTCAGCAGTTGGGTCATTGAATATCGAACAAATCATCCATTTTCGTCAAGGTCAAGGACAACCAACGCACATCAGTTAATCTTACGCCATGGAGCGGCTCATGCGGCAGTGGCCTTACCTTTGCTTGTATTTACCTTAACTGATATGTTTCTGTAATAGCGTCCTTTGTGTTGTACAGTCTTAGAAGCATCTGTAGTACATTGATGGTTCAGTTGGTTAATCCACGTAAGGTGCTGACCGCGAGGTGTGATTTCGACGTTAGCTAGTTTGTCACAAAATTCACGTCTAAATCGAGTAGGCCTCCAATCATTTCCACATAGATCATCTACGTTGATGATCTACACTGGTGAGCAACCTATCATTACAATATTAATTATTGAAATCTGTACTTATACTTTTCCATTTTTATCATCGCCCATGTTAATCTGTTACTGTAAACTTTCATTGCTTCATGTCAATGTTGGTTAGTATTTAAACTTAAATGAATAGTTTAGTCGAAAGAACTAACTAGTCAACTACAATTATAACCGGCTATCGAGGTTCTTTAACAAGCAATAGTAGCATGTAAGTGCTCCTGTGTAATATGTCTGTTAAAATACCAACCACTTGTGAGTAAAGCCACAAGGCAACACAAACGCACATCCACTGGTATAAGCGAGACAAGATTAACTGTCGGCTATAAATTCATCTTTCCGCTTAACCACTATCCACTAGAATGTTTTACTTTTCTTGAACACAGCCTGCCTAATTTCCGATTGCTGAGTTACGTGGCCAAACAGAGTATATGAATGCTAAAAATTTACAGTGAGTTGAGAAAATTGCAAGGTTTTCTGCAATTTCTGGAGGACTTTCCATATTGGTTATAATACCAGCACCAATCGCGGTTGTCTGCCTCTCGTGGTCTAGAGACAGGTCGCCTGCGTGAAGAGCTTCTTTGCGAGGTTTATGATTGTTTACGGTCGTTAAAAAATTTATGAAAATGTGTAAGTGTATGATATAACTGTTATGGCATTCTGGGTCGTTTGAGGCTTTGCTTTGACTAAAAAAACCTCCACACTAAAAGATTTTTTGATTTCAAGAATGCGATCGACAGATGCAGCCAGCTCGTCTACCGCGTCTTTTTGAAACATGACCAGCACAGCTAGCACCCGTTGAGGTAGTTTGGATAAGAAAAGTGGCTTGAAGAGGCCATCATCGAAAGTTCTTTGGCTGAAAACTCTCATTCTCAACAACATATCTGTCGCCAAACCATTTTGCAGGTCGATGTTGTTAAGGAGATGGTCTAACCTTTTGTCGATCGGTTAGATCTCCGTGTTTAAGGATAGACCGTTTCAGTGTTTCGTAGGGTTCTGAAAAATCACTAGTAAACATACTAGGTGTTACGTACCTGTTAAATTCGCGCGGTAGTGCCTTGACTACTGCGGGGAATTGTGCACGTGCTTCGTTCACGCCGTGCTCGCAGAAGTCAGCTTCTGCGTAGCAAAATCTGGGTTCGATGTTGTCTCGCCAGAAGGGCATTAGTTGAAGGTGGGGACATAGTCTTTAGCTTAAGTGCCTTAGGTGTCTGTTCAGTCATAGTGAAATATCAAGTACGAGAATGGACGAGTGGGAAATATATATACCCAAAAACAAAGGGAAAAAATTATCACAATGTATAAAAAATTAAAATAAGGCAATGATATATAAAATCCCAAAAAGGAACAGACTCACGGTTTGCAGTTTGGTGTACCAGATCACGTCGGGCTCACCATTGAAGATGCCACAGGTATTCGGAGTTCTACAACGCTTTAACCAGTAACACTTAATATGAAGCGTACCCAGCAAGTGAGATCAAAAGACAGAAGCGAGGAGGCTCAAAGATATGTTTGATAGGCTATCAATATCGAGGATCGTCTGATCTAATCCAGCTAGCGGTTGCAGTAGATGTTGAGCATGGCGTTTCCATACGTGATCTGGTGCGGATGCATGACCGAGCACCTTCAGCTAGATGAGTGCATTAAAACTAATGTGGTCAGCAATCAATGTCGAAAACTTACATAGCTATTTATTTTGAAGATTTATTTACCGCCACAAGATGAACAGGTGGAGACATTTTAGTAGCTGCACCACCTACAATTTGTTAATAAAGAAACCTAAACTATACCGTTTGGTGTACTCTATGCAGACTGGACGTAGCTACATAAAGCAGTGGCTGATCGTAGGTAAATACTACTAAACCGCTCTGCAGCTACGGCGATGCCTACTTCTACACCAACTGAACTGTAGTTTTCATAGTCAGTGGTCGTTAACTGATACCTTGTCTCAAACTCAGATCTTAGCTTCCTCAACCCTCTTCAAAAGGTTGATCTAGGGCAGCCCATCAAGTTTGACGCTCTATTGTCTGTAACCCGTCCCTCATCCCTTTCATTACATTCCACATTATTAGTTTAAAAGAAACAGAGCATTAATCGAAGTTATAAACAGCGCAAACAATTCACATGCATGGTGTGAGGTTTTTGAGAAAGTGGTGTGTGGTTGACGCTCCATTGTCTCATGTCTGTTTGATATACTTAAACAAAACCTGAACATCGGTTACGTAATGCTGACTGACTTTCATAATAATGCTAAAAATCGTATTTATTATTGTAATTTCATCTAAAAGGTTCAAAAATGCACTGGTTATTAAATGACTGTTCGGGGTTTTCACCCAAACTCTGAGGAAGGCTATTGGACTTTGGGGATTTATCCAAAATAGGGAGATTGATTGAGCTTGCGTTCAAACATACAAGCATATCTGACAAGAACATATTTTGGAGTCGTCTCATATTTATTTTTTTATATGTTGACGTGACATACCTAATGTGATTATACTGTACAAAGAATCATCAATCACAGAATCTCTATTACAGTATACATACATGTACTTCTTCCAAGCAGGTCTGAAAATTGTTCAAACTGATAAAATAATATCTTTGAAGATTTGTTCTATATTATGCATAACTACGGTGGCATTATTAGACAAAGTGTGGCTGAACTCGAATCGAATCTAAGACTGTCTTGATTTGACCGCTTCTGCAAAACTTGACTAATTGTCGAGGTAACGCGCCAATCATTTTGCCATGGTTTGACCTTCAAGTGCTCAGCAACCTCCTTCAGTGGACGATACCCTTCTAAATGAATCTAGCGTATCTTGATGGTTAGTTTTCCTAACCCCCCGTTTTAAACTGTTGATGTCAAAAGTAGTCTATATAAGTTCTCAAGACAAAATAAAGTCAGTATTTGTATCCAACTTTTCTTACATTATAGGGGTTTTAGATACTAAAGCTTGTGGAATATTACTATTGTTTCCTTAAGTGAAATCAACGAAAAAATTTTAGTAGCATAAATAAATTGTTTACTCAATAATCAGGTCAATTTATCAAACAGTTTGAATGTCTGGATCTATTCATTAGACTTCGGTTGTCTTGTTAACATTCGTATACGTCACCTCAACAATAGAGGATATAGGCTAATAAAAATGACCAAAACGCCCGTTTAAATCAGAGTAAACAATATCCATGGAAATTTCCCCGCAGCATATTGCATAGTCTCCGTTTAATCACCCTTGGATTATTTACTTTCCTTACAGATATCTGTTTGCGTAAAAGCTTTTTAATGGTCTATTATTTTTTACAGACAAGGATGAATGTAGTGATATCGCAATTGGTATCGATATTTCGGAGGATTACAGTCAAGCAAACAATGCCTCTGGTGATTCACTCATCAAAATGAGAGCACAGTGGACTGAAGAATTAAAGCAGGTATGTGAAATTTTACTACCAAAGAATAATTAAATGCCTATAAAATGAACGTTTCGTGTTGTGGCGCCAGAGCTTCTTTGTTTACTTAGCCCTCAACTATGTGTTCACTTATGCAACTACTCATTTTTGTTGGTGGTTGGCCATAAAATGTCTTAAGTATGAATATTGTTTCTAGTTTGTCTGTATGGTCCCAGACAATAAATGTTTATTCTGTGGCGTGATATCATGCGTTATGTACCCAGACACCAAAAATTTACTCGAGGGTTGTGAATATTTTTTAATATTGATACTATTTCCTTACTGAATTTGACGGAATGTGGAGGTATTTGATCTTCAGTAATGAGGATATGTCAGTGGACCTGTGTTAGTTCTTGTAGTTGGATTTCTAGTTAGAGTCTATTCTCTCGCAAATGTTCGCTGATAGAGCTAATGCCACTTGCTTGGGTAAGGCACTTCAGTCAATGACTACTTGATGAGAGAAACGGAACCACACTCTGAGTTTATGAGTTCGCGGTTTTTGAACCCTCTTTCTACCGCCTCGGAGATGATTAGTTCTGGGGTGGAGTAAAATGATGAGACACTTAAGTCGTTAATAAAGATACAGAAGGTCGATACAAGGCCACCTCGCGTTCTACGATATGTTGTGGTCCTGAAATAATGTCTGCGAGAGATGACAACAACCGTGGGCGTAACCCATCAGGACCTGGTGTCTTACCAGGTCTGAGGCTAGTCGAAAAACAGCTTCCTCAGTCACATGTACGGGTCATATAGCTAGTATCTCGGTGGTGGCGTTGTTACAAGTGTTATTAACGTTACTTGTAGAGTATACCTCTCACATTGAAATCTTCACCGATGAGACAACAGTCGGCCTTCAAGAATAGATTCATTTTAAGGCAAAGTCGTCAGCAAGACAACATGGACTACTGTACATTCATCCTATAGTCACTAATTCACGTAGATTTAATTGTACAACGAAACACCTCACGTACATCACGTGCCCCTCTGATGTGCTCGATTATACACGAAAGTGATCTCCAACATATAATATTGTCTCCTTCCTTGCAATCTATAATTCTATCACTTTTAATGCGGATGTATCCTGTAATGATTGGAGAACAGTCTACATCTACGATAAGCCACATTTCTGTGACAACAAGTATATCGGGACTTAATTCATCCATCAAACTTAGCTCGAACGTTTTATTTCTAAGACTAAGAGCATTTGTGTTGCACATATGGTGTTTTGGGAATAACTCGTTCTACCCATACAAGTCTCGAAAGCATTGGCTTCCTAAACGTGACTACCCTGAAACCCTGGATGTTAAGGCTTGCTTCGCCACTTTGCTTTCAAGTTTATAACTCAGGGAATTTTTCCACTTGATTTGATCCTCAAGTAACCATTCTGGTTGTATACGAATATTCGAATTACTAGTTTTGTATGTCATTGAGTATAACTTTCCTTTCCTCATAACTGCTACCGTGACATGGTGGTTGGGCTTGCCTATCGTAATGGCCAGAACACAGTCCCTTTAGGTCCTACCATGCCAGGCAGGCCGGTTGGGGAACGGTAAGAAGTAGTAAATTAAGACCCATAGCAAATTCGTACTAATTGTAGGAGGGATGACAGCAGCAAGGTGTCTTCCTCGGACGACCAGCATCTGCGGCGATGGTGACTTTTCACAACGAAAGGAAGGGGTTAGAAAAGGTTGACCCAAAAAATGTCACATTTCATCTTACCCCATGGGTTTCCGTCTCCGTCGGTAAGGTCTTTTGAAGTGCAGAGCTAATACATCAAAAACCTCCCACAAAAAGGCCGTGCGCAGCCGGCCCCAAGCAGTTTTCCTTTTGGCTCCTCAGTCACGCCTCTATGTCATTAAGACCACCCCTAAATATGCTTTTCGAGGTCCCTCAAGAAGACATATCCTTCTACGGTGTGGCCACCCAGGAAGGGACATTCGCCTTCATACCTCTATCAGCACCCTCGATCATCTTATTGACGACCGAATCCTTTCCCCGTCTTTTAATAATTCTACCTTCCCAGCTACTAGCTATTCTCGTATATCTTTATCACAGTGTACCACCAGTGCTAATGATTTGAGTTCACGAAATGTTATTCCTAGTCTCTTGAAACCAGGCTCAAAACTACACGTTGGAACTGCTAATGTCCGAACGTTGTGTCAGATAGAACAACATGCTTCTTTAGCCAGGACTCTAGAATCTTACGCCATCGTTGTATGCTGCGTCTCCGAAACGCGCATACGGGATCCAAGTGCGGTCATTCATTTGACCTCACCTTTTCAATATAGAGAACTGGCAAGATTACCCTTTGAGTTTTTGGAGACCCCACTGCTACTTCTCGTGGCCCTTCTGGTGTAGGTATAGTATTAGTTTCTAGAGCAGAACAGGCCCTCTTGAACTGGACTCCAATAAACAGTCACTTGTGAGATGTGAGAATAAATGGGACAAAGAAAGTTCGAAACGATAGGGACACACGCCGTTACCTTTTCGTTGTCTCTATCTACGCTCTCACTGATTGCAGCCCGAACGAAAAGATGAATTCTATGGGGAGTTATCCAACCTTCAAAGAGCTAAACTCTCTGATGTAGTAATAGTGGCAAGGTAAATCAAACGAAACCGAAAGACAATCAGGAAGGTCTTACGGCGTTGCAGCTCAGCGAACAGATATTGGTGACCATCTGTTATTCAGAACACTCCAAGTGCCGAGAGTGGGGAGAGTCAGCTCTTCCTCTCGAAATGCTCTTACATGGTCACATGCATACAACCACTACCAGGGAAGTCCTAATCATTGCCTTCTCGCATCACGAGTGTTGTTTACAAAATTGAGAGGATGAAAAGCGAATGGCTTTAACTGGGTTGGTGGACATAGGGGCATGGTAAGCCCCCAAATGCCTTGGTATGGCCGAGAGTGGGGTGGGTTCACCCTCCCTCTCGAAATACTCTCTCATGCACCCGGGCAGTATCACAGCCCACACACAAATATTATAAAAATGATGAGTTGGAAAACCCTGATTCCAAACCAATGGTACACATGGGCTCCATGATCCTAAAGAAACAAGTGACGTGTGAACCAATTGTTAGTCACCGACTACCATGGAATTGCATCTCCTGGCGTTGCTCCACTGCCTTGTGGATTAGACCTTAGGTCAAAGGCTTTGGGTGTGGCCCCCTAAGAGAACCACATGCCTCGGTTTGGGCACCCGGGCAGTATCACAGCCCACACACAAATAAAACGAAATGACGGTAATTACTAAAAATACTATCCTCGCCTCGATTGAAAGTCAAACAATTCACATTCATTCTTCCTTTTTTGATTATTACGTCACTTGTCCGCTCTTTTATTCCCACTTTGTGTATTCTTACTTTTCAACTTATACAGCAGCTCGCCTATGGTGGAAACTCTTTTCTTTCTAAACGATCTTGAGTCACTGATTGGTCGAAAATTAAATGCTGCCACCGAAACAGTCCTTTCAAAACCACGTATACTATTCAAACTGGCTTCCTTTGACGTTCCCACACTAAGGACGAACCAATGAGATATGAGGTAATAAGCCTTGGATTTCGGCACGAAATCCATCCATTCGGCTAAATTGCGTTTTGGCATTTTAGCTTATGTCAGTCGGTGATGGAAACCCTAAATCCTAACCCTAACCATCAACTGTAAATCACAATTCTAATCTCTCACACTGCTTTATAACCCTCATTTAGTAAGTGGACACTCAAGGTCACGTTATCGTCTCAAAGGTCGTCCATAAATTATAGTCCCACCCTGGTGTCTGGCGAAGTCTCAGCTTGGATTCAGAAGGCCCAATTGGCTTTTGCCAACCTGCGTCACTTGTGGATTAGACGAGATATTCATCTTCAAACTAGAGTCAGTTTACTGCGCAGTTGTTCACTGCGTCGTACTTTATGAATGTGAAACATGGCCATTAAGAGTAGAGGATATTTGTAGGTTACTGGTATTCGATCATAGGTTTCAACGAAACATTTGTGTATGTTGGAAGCAAGGAGTAAGCAATACCTGCTTTGGGAATAGAGTACTAGGTAAAGATATGAAATCGATTAATGAGGTCGTAAATCTTCATCGACTGAGGTGGTTGGTATAGGTGTTGCGCATGCCCAACCACCGCCTACCTCAACGGGCAATGTTTCTTTTTTACACAAGAGCAGGCTCAGAAAATGCTAGGGTCGGCCAAACCAAAACGAGATATCAATCTATGAAGTTACTGACAATTGAACTTAGCCATGTTAATAGGTACAGACTACCTGGTTGGGGTCCACGTGATTATCGTAATCAATGGTTAGAGACACTGAATGACGGCTCAAAGTCGTTTACAATGGCTCAGGTGCATCTATTCACTGTCTTTCCTCAAATCCTAAGATTCTAATTTCCTCATAACTTTTTGTTTTTATTTGACTAATTTGTGTTTTATTTTCGAGTCGCATCTTCGATGCCTAATATTTCGTATTATCACTGATACTACTACCTCAACTATTCCGGGATTTCGCCCGACAATTTCATCTCTCTGTGCTAATGGGGTATAGTAACTTGAACCTATGTACATAAGTGCAAGTTCTACGCTGTCTGACTGTAACTTCTAAGTACCTACTCCAAAATCCTTCTTGGTTGGGTCTCGCCTCCAACCTACTTATCACTTCAGCATTATGTACTGCTAAAACCTGTTCTGGCTAAACATTCCTGATAGCGGATTCCACTAACTCCAGATTGTGTGCATGCCTTTTAGCAGGGTCATTTTCTTTTGACTTTCAGATTCCAAATGAAGTCGATTGATCTTTCGCTTAACGCACTGCATGTTTTAGTATGGCAGTTGTGTTCCGTAAGATACTCGTGATTTCTTAAGTAGGCTAATTTTACGAAAAGGCAATGGAGAAATTATTAGTTTCGAAGTATTATATAATGAGAAGTCTCGATGTATTTTTCCGTGAGATTTTACCTCTCAGATTCTTATCTAATATTTCTTCGTATTTTAATCTTTTGCTTATCAATAATCTAAAAGTGTATGATTTTAACTTTGTTATTTTTGTTCTTCTTTGAGGTCGAAGATGAAATTCAAACACTGCGACAAGTCTTATTATCTAAATTTCGTCGGCAGCAGTTTCTAAAGCGCCAGCTTGGTATAACACCAATTGAAGAACTAAAGAGTGAAGTTAAACAAGGTTTAGATACTTTACGAACCAGTGATGCGTAAGTCTATTAGTTATTTGCTAAATTTCTCTTAATGTGTTGCAAAGGCTTACCCATGTTACACGTCAAAGCAGTAAGGGTGTCCTGAAAAAATATAATGCTGTTTATATGATATAATTATATTTTACAGAATAATAGCAAACTAAATAATTAGAAATATGATATTAATGACTTAAAATATATTTTGCATTCAACATGAGCCTTTAATTTTGTTCTTAACATTGAATCATGTTAAAAGACCTCTAGTCGAAAGTCTCTTTACAACAGTTCAGATATATATATGTATATTTTTTTTAAAAGTGTTGATGATTCTACCTCATTATATGATAGTTGTTATGACAAGAGCAAGACTTGTGAAGTGAATACTGTTGTGATTTGTGGTCGGCTAATATCATGTGATAAGGTAGCCAATCAGAATACGACTTATACTATCTTAACACTGTGCCACAACAATGACCGATATGAACAGCCTAGTGTCCTTATTAGTCCTTTTTCTGCCTAGCTCTGCCTGTTGAGATCAGAACGCCAACATCAACCTCCACTATACAAATCATTTATTCCAAACATACTTGGTTTATATATAGGCAAACCAAACCATATCATACCATAAGATAGAAAATACACATTTGTAAAAGATCAAACCAAAAAGTGGTTGTGATTGTTAGAGACCGTAATTAATAATTTCACTTATCACTTTAATGATAAATAATTTTAGAAAGAGATAACATTCATTTATTATATGTAATTGTTTATATCTTCTGATGATAATCTTCTAGATATCTGAAAACATCAGCTGTTGTAAAAACTGCTAAAGATAAAACATCAGCTGCATTATTTGAAAAATGGAATTTATTACGGTATGTTTATCAACAAATGAATTTATTAATGTTTATTACATTTATTATGTATATCAAAATTTTAGGTGGGAAAAAAATCTTATTATTTATTTTATTTGAACACATATATATTAGTAAAAAGGAACACCGAATACATATGCACCATACAAGTCACTTGATTTGTGTGTGGGCTGTGATGTTGCCCGGGTGCCTAAACCGAAACAGGTGGTTTTCTTAGGGAACCACACCCGGAGCCTTCAATCTAAAGGTATGATCCACAAGGCAGTGGAGCAACGTCAGGAGATGCAGTCCCGTGATAGCCGGTGACCAACAATAGGTTCATACTCCATTTGTTCTCTCAGGATACTGAAGCCAACCCTTTTGTACCATTGGTTTAGAATCAGGTTTTTTCAACTTCCCTAGGTGGATCTTCCGTGTCCACCGAAACCCGGTTGAAGCTCCGGGCATTCACTTTCCATCCTCTCAATTTCGTAAACAATAGTAATACCGCGAGAAGGCAGTGAGTAGGACTTCCCTCTGAAAAGAATTTTTGGTAAATGTTTTCACGTTTCTATACTTTTAATTGGTAAATAGGTTAGGGCTACGTACTTTATATTATTGCTGGAACCCAAATAGATAGGTGTGAGTTTTCGACTTCATGAATAAGCCACGGCTCTCATTGGTCATTGCACTTTTTTAAGTGTCATCAGGTTTTATAATGTGATCACAAACCTCTAGTGTGCTAGTTATTCACACTGTTATTGTTCTGTCGATCCTACCTCCAACGAAAATTAGGTTTCATTTGAAGCCATGTAATAATATAGAGCCACATACTGTACTTATCCAACAGAATGACCAAAATGAAAGTGAGCATAACTGAAACTGTATTCGATCTTCTATGATCCAATTTGGAAGATTGTAAAAATTCTACACCTAGCCATGCCCTGGTATGGCCGAAAGTGGGGTGGGTTCTCCCTCCCCCCCTTGAAATACTCTCACACGATCACGCGTATATAGCCTCTGCCAGGGAAGTCCTACTCACTGCCTTCTCGTGGCGGGGGTGTTGTTTACAAAAATGAGAGGACGAAAAGCGAATGTCCGGCGCTTTAACCGGACCCCAAACCAATGGTGCACATGGGCTCCAGTATCCTACGGGAACAAATGGCGTATGAACCGATTTCTTGGTCACCGGCTACCATGGGACTGAATCTCCTCACGATGCTCCACTGCCTTGTGGGTTAGACCTTTAGGTCGAAGGTTCGGGGTGTTGCCCCCTAAGAAAATCACCTGCTTCGGTTTGGGCACCCGGGCAGTATCACAGCCCTCACACAAATCAATTGAGATTCGTGTGGCGCATATGTACTTGGTGCCTCCCTGTACCTATACCTATGTGTTAAAATAAATAAATAAATTTCGTTTCCCCCATGTTTGTTCTTTTTTTTATAATTCCCTACGTTCCTTACCTTTTTTCCTTCTCTTTAAATTCTCATTGTTTTGTGTGGCGCATATATATTTGGTGCCCCCCTGTACCAATATTTATGTGTTCAAATAAATAAATAAACATAGATGGGTGTATAAATTCAGTAGTATACTAAATTGGAAAATCTAAAGAAGGCATTCCTTAAAATGGTTTCTTATCTACAATGGCTTGTGTTGATTCGATCACATCAACTCTGTCTTGTCCTATCAAATTATATGAAAGGGGCTAATTGCTTTGAATAGCATGTGCGATGACCAAATTTTTTGTACAGTAAGAACTCGTCTTGGAGGACTCATGATGATATGTACATATATTGCTGCTTGTTCCTCATCTCCCATTACTGATTTTTCTGGATTGAGTAAAAGGTGAGTTTTGAAGGAAGCCTTCTGATCTTTAGAAATCTAGGAGTTCAAACGTAGAAATCCTCGCAGGTGATTCTAACACCCAAGTAGGTATCCTAAGTCAAGCTCAAAAGCACTTATGTAGGTCTTTTGGTGTCCGAGCAGACAGATAACGACGACTGTCGCCTGCCATTAATCCTTAGATAACCGTTTATTCCTAGAAAGTACCAATGATAGGGATAGAGAGAAACATTGTCTAACTTGGCCATATTCAGAATCAACACAACGATAGACACGTAAACCATCTCGCTATCAACTTTCACTAATGTTGGTTCAAAAGAAGACTGCTGCTTTATCTAGAGTAAACGATCTAATGAGAGCATGCACTTTACACAGAAACATTTCATAAAGCAAAACTCTTTAGAGGGATTCATTCGAAGATTAAAAAGTTAAAAATCCGTCCAAAGACGAAGTGGTGAATTAATTAGTCAATTTTGAAAGGGAAGTTCATCCCGAAGAAGCTTTAATTGATGTCTAAACACCTTTGTATAAGCCAGAGATATATATTGGCAACTTAAGCCAAAAGATAAGGAAAGTTTTTAGTAGACTTTCACTTATTTGGTAGCTCCTCAAAAACTCCTGCTTCGGTTTGGGCACCCGGGCAGTATCACAGCCCTCACACATATCAAATGTATTTGGTGCCTCCCTGTACCATCTGTTAAAATAAATAAATAAAATAAATCCTCAAAAACTCACCTTGGCTGTCTTGGAGAGCGAAGAAAGCTTAGGTGTAGACCAACAAAAAACTTATATAATGATCGCTATCTGAAACGTATTCACAGGGAAGTCTTTAGTCATTTACCAATGCAACCCATGGTTAGTGTTCGATGGCGATATACACCGCCTCGTTTCAATCGTAGAAGTTGTGACTGCCATCTTTTCGTTCTAACTTCATCTTCATTGGACTTTTTAGGTGAAAAAGTAACTAGTAGTATGTCTAACATTCATGACTGACGGAGACCAGGAAACATTCGTTCTTTATAAGCACGATTAAAAACATTATCGTGATTATTCAACACATGTGGTACTGCTATCGATTATAAACTTCCTCCTGAACTGTCACCATGACCAATGACTCTAGTACGCAAAATACTGTCCCAAGTCTACTGAAACCTCGCTCTAAACTACGCTTTGGAACCTTCAACGTACGTATCCTATGTCAAATCGACCAGCAAGCCTCCTTAGCTGAAACCCTAGAATCTCGTACGATTGATGTATCCTGTGTCTCCAAAGCACGCATACAAGATCCTAGTGTGGTCATTCACTTAACCTCACCTTGCCAAAACGGGGAGCCGACGAGATATACCCTCATTTTATCTGGTGACCTCACGGCAAATTCTTGTGGACTGGCGGGTGTGGACATAGCACTAAGTACGAGGACAGAACAAGCACTTTTAAGATGAACTCCGTGTTAACAGTTGCGTATGTGTTGTCCGGCTAAACAGCCCCGTGAAGGCTATTTACTTAAAGACTGTCAGTCGAGTCAGAGCTTATGGCGAACTGTCATCTGATTTTGCAACCTCAAGTGATGTGCGGCAAGGCTACCCACTATCTCTATTTTCGGTCAATTTCATCATAAACCCACTGCTGGAAATAACATTTTCATCGTCTGAATTTTCGGGAATCGATCTCCTAGCAGAAGGTCCATTTATTGACTTAGAACACACAGATGACATAGTCCTGTCAAGTGAAGACGGTGATAAAATGCTGAGTCTTTTGGTAGCACTGAGAAAGAATACCAGAATGTTTGGGATCCGTTTCTTCTCCTCTGAATGCAAGCTGTTGCTCCAGGACTGGCCTGCGTCAACACCTGAACTAAGGATAGGGAGTGAAGTAGTCGACAACTTCACTTATCTTGAAAGTCTGATCAACCCACATGGATTGGCTTCTGACAAAATCTCTGCATGGCTTTTGCTAACTTTCTTCTGTGACGAAGAAGAGATATCCGCCTATCAATTAAAGGATAGATTATGAATTTTTCAAGTAACTGTGTTTCAGATAACTACCTCTATATTTCAAAGCTGCATCTGTCGATCATTATTTTTAGATGTTTTTATAGACAGAAATAAATAGACATGTTGATAGTAAATAGACCAGGTTATTCGTGAGTAAATAAGTTACAAATACGTAAATGTAATACCCCTAAAGAAGGATACTGAAATTTAGCTTCTGTGGATAACCATATCCTTCAACATTAATTAGCCTACTAAAAAAAGGTTGTACAAATTATTAGGCCATAATGTGTAGATAGTTGACATATTTTCATCAGTAAACTGACAAGTTCATATAATTGAATGAAAAACCAATTTGATTGTACTAAGATAAATGTGTTTTAGTTTAATAGTTTGTTTGATACATTGTAGACAAACTAATACATACAAATCTTTGGAGAATAAAGTGGGTTCAGCTTGTCTCAATGTTTATGTAAGTGTTTCATTATACATAATAAGATTATATCATCTTCAAATTGTATTTTTTAATCTTCTAATTCTGATTTTATAACATAAAATAACAATTTTGAATTACTGTAGTTTTAAAGATAAGAAAACTTTCATTTTGTATAGGACTTAACATCTTTTGGTAAATATTTCATTACTAGTCTGATAGCTTTTAAATCATTTATAAAAAATCCTCATTTAGATTAGTTAAAAACAATAAGTTCGACAACAGTCTAGGTAGTTATAAATCCCTGGTATAGCCGAGAGTGGAGAGAGTCCGTTCTCCCTCTCGAAATGCTCTCACATGACCACGCGCGTATACAGCCTCTGACAGAGAAGTCCTACTCACTGCCTTCTCTTGGCGAGGGTGTTGTTGACGAAAATGAGAGGACGAAAAGCGAATGTCCGGCTCTATAACCGGATCCCAAACCAATGGTGTACATGGGCTCCAGTATCCTGAACCAATCGTTGGTCACCGGCTACCATGGAACTGCATCGCCTTACGATGCTCCACTACCTTGTGAATCAGACCTTTAGGTCGAAGGCTCGGGGTGTTGCCCCCTAATAAAACCACCTACTTCGGTTTGGGCACCCGGGTAGTATCATAGCCCACACACAAATAAAATGAAAATTTGTGTGGCGCATATATATTTGGTGCCCTCTTGTACCAATATTTATGTGTTTAAATAAATAAAAAAAAAAATAATGACTTATTTTATTAAGGCCAAAAAAGAATCTGATAAGTCTTTGCATCTGTTACGGCATAAACATCTTGAAATTGTATCATTTGTAAACTAGAAAAAAAAAGAAAATCAAAAGGATTTGTTGTGAAGCATCAAGTTATATAGTCAATATGATAATGATAAAATAAATTATATCAATAAAATGCATAATGGACAAATTTCACCTCGGTAATGGAGATAATAATGACATCGTGTGAATATAATTCTGTCAAAGTGATTACGATAACAATACATGTGAATTGTGAAAGATCAATGTGTAGATTAAGAAAGCATTTGGGTGTGGATAAAGGATTTATAATATCCAGTTCAGGTATCTGGTAATCTAGTCGTGGATCAACGTAAGCATAATGATGTTTAGGCAAGAATGATAATGATTGGTTGTCTGTTTAGTCAGACATGTAGATAATCTGACAGGTGTCAGATGAGTGATATATTCCCCTTTCCTCATAATAATTATTATTATTGTTTGTTCATTGTTGTTGGATTGTGTCGGGTTTTGGTCTGGAAATATATTTACGTTCAGTCAGGCTAATCATGTGTTCTTGATCTGAGTTGTGTTGAAGTCTTGTAGAATAGACACTGGGAGGGAATCTAGCGTAGATATTCGTGTAAGGTAAATTAACGTCCCATGTGTGTAAACGTTGGAAAACCAACTGTTATTTATAACACGAAAGTTCAATATACCTCTTCTGTATGCATAAGTTAGACTTTCTGGAGTTGATCCAGATAGGTTCAGCTATGTAGAGGGAGTCGTAATCTATCTAGCTCCTTTAAGTTGAAGACCGCTTTGTGATGTAATTTCTTCTATCCTTCTATAGGAATTCTAGTTTCTGTTGTGTACATACATGTTTATTTCAATGTTCAGACAACTTGAAGGATGTCTTCATTCGGTAACCAAGTAATTGTTTGGTTATGCACTCAGGCAATTGAAAACCATTCTGTATCTGTTAACAACGAGCTTTATAGCTTTCTGTCTTCACTTACAGTCAACTACATAACTCATCTTTTTATAAATCCAGTTCTACTTGGAGTTGATAAAAATGTATATTGTTTCCCCTCAATAGATCAAAATTTTTTATAGAAAGTAAAAAGGCATATGTTAAAGTTCCCGATCAGCTCTACTGTGTTACCATATTTGCCAACATTTTTATAAACCTGTAATAATAAAAAGAAGAATTCTACGGTATTGTAAGACTATAGTTAGAATAGTTTGTTCTTTAAAAAAATCAATTCTAACACCTAATAACCACCTCTGACCTGTTCTTGCATATATACCATTGATAACCTTTGTCATTCCAATCCTTTACATTCACTAAATGTCTATATTACTGTAGAATATGTGTATTAGTACTGTACCTTATTAGTTAGTAAACTCTATTGACGGATAATAGTTATATCAGGAATAATTTAATGTTTAGTTTACTAAATCTATCTCTTCTGTTCACACATTGTCATTTACTTTACTTGTTCCTTATCATTTATGTTGCATAGAATGATCATTTTGTCAAATGGAATTCATCATTCACAAACACACACACACACACCCATCTATTTACATATGTTCTGTGTTCTGTTCTACTTACTATTGTATTTTTCATCTTCAGTAAATTACACTATATTATCAAACTTATTATCTAAATATCGATTCAATCTATTTTTAACTCATTCGATATTGTTCTAGAAATTGATTTAAATTCTACTAAACTGTTTTTCATTGTTATTCTAATATTTTTATTTCTTATTGTTGTTGAATCAATCCACTCACATACAGTTTTAATGTTTATTTTGTTTCACATTTATTCCATTTAACTTTCGAGGGTTTTAACACTTTATATTGTATTGAATGTGATGAGAAGAATACCAAATGGAAACAATCAATTGTATATATGAATACAAAATTATAGAACATCTTCTTACTTAGTACAATCTGTGAATCATTGAGTAAATACTTTATTCTGCAAAATATCCATCAATCGTCTCAGACTACATTCTTCCTTCATTTCCATAGCAATTATTCTCGATTCTTGTTCTGTTACATTCGATCTCCTTAACCTTCAGCTGCCAGGCATTTCATTTTCGATTGATGATGATACATACTACTTATATATGTCGATATCAGTAGCACACACCACAATATTAATAGCCAACTATTTATTAGACCGTCTAGTGTTCAAAATTAATCAAGTTTACCTTACTTTTTATTTATATTTTCATTCAATTAGTTTGTTATGTTTTTGTTTGCTAAATCACACATATATGTATAAATCAATGGTAAAGAATTACGTATATTTATATATTCATAGAAGGAAAGTATATCTAACCTCTTTTTCTGTTGGCATGGTTTGATTCCTTGAAACAATGACCACATGTATTATGACTTAAGTATTTTTCTCTACCTATTAACTTCTGTTCATGTAATTTTACTTATGTAATTAATTACAATTATTTACATCATTAATTAGAGCGTCATCCCTTTAAGTATGGTTAAATATTCTTTATGTCATATCAGTTTCCACTACAATGTACTTTTGTGTGTGATTTTTCTGTCCGTTTACGGAAATATCCACTTCATTTTGATGAAGTGAAATAAGTGACATTTTTATTTTTAATCATTGTAATTCGTTGTAAATTTCAACTGTTTACGATTGATGGGAAGCCTTAAAATGAATTATATATCTACTCAAATTATGGTTTAAAACGTTAACTAGTATGTATCTATTTCACTTTTTAGGGTAAATTGACACGTTCTAAAACATTATCAAGTGGTACTGAACAAATCAGACAGTTTGATGTAAGTCATATTTTAATATTTTATATCATTATATTATTGTCTATTAATCATTCAACTTACCTATATTTTTCATTATTGTTATTAATTCATTCCAGTATTAATATAAGCGAAATAAGTGTGTGTTCTCACAATTGCTTTGAAAGTTATTCATCTTTCATATCAAATGTAATCACACAGTAATATCTTTACATTTCCAAAGTGAATATGTATTTGTTTGTTGGAAAACCAATATTCGTTATTTTAGGAATTGAGTTTTGTGATTTTTAAGGGAACTAGTGCATAAAAGCTACCCTTAAAAATTCACTTTTGTATGGTCAGTTTTAGTCTAATATTATTTTAAATGGTTTAGATCATGAGTTAGTTAAAGCTAGACCACCATGGAAAGCACTGGAAGCACTGAACGGCCGTTTCGTCCTATTATGGGACTCCTGAGCAGTGCGTATCCACGACCTCACCCCCTGCGAGATTCGAACCCAGGACCTACTGGTTTCGCACGCGAGCACTTAACCACTACACCACCGAGCTTGTCGGCATCCAATGGTGTTAATGTCTAACTTCAACTAATCCACGAAATTGAGCGACACATCCACCATTGTCTTCAGTGAGTTACTATCTCACAACAAACCTGGTTGAACTCCACTGGTCACTACTTCTCACTAGAACTGCAGGATATACCTCTTGAAGCCAGTCACTAGTGAACATATGTTGATTATTATCAGAAGGGGTTTTGTGCAGATTGTAGTAATTTCAATGGTTAAGATCATGAGTTAGTTGAAGCTAGACCACTATGGAAAGCACTGGACGGCCGTTTCGTCCTATTTGGGACTCCTCAGCAGTGCGCATCCACGACCCCACCCCCTGCGAGCTTCAACCAACTCATGATCTAAGCTATCTGCACAAAACCCGTTCTGCTAATATTAATTGTTTTTTTTTAAATCAGTTATTCATCTGAGTACATATGAGCTAAGAAATATTAGATTTGTGCTGAATATATTTTAACCTACAATATCTTTATCTCATTGTAGTTACCTTCAATCAACTCTTATTCACGACATCCTTAAATTTTATCATTACTCTCTACCTCTCTGTTGCTCTATTTCCTATAAACTATTTTGGATCCATATAATATTATATTAATTTTGTATTCTGTATTATATTTGCCATCATTTTACCTATCACATTACAGTCATTTATCTTAACCTTTATATTATATGGTTATTTTATGTAGTTCAACTATAACTGAAGGGAAATCTACTATTTCCCCAATGTATAACAATAATTATTCCATTAAAATGAAGTAATCGGATAAGAGTAGTTGTTCTTTTGTTTAACCACATACTTTCTTACTGGATATGTTCAGTTTCTTGATATTTAACTTGTATCTCGATCATAAGCTAATCAGTAATCTAATTGCTTTGACACACAACTCAACAAAAAGATTTCATAATGAAGTTTCCTATATTCCGTTCTAGAGTTAATAGTTCTTGAGAGTTTGGTTTTCTTCTAAAGTAATTCATTACAAAGAAATATAAATGACTGTGTATATATTGATTAATGGATTAAAATATACAAGCACAAAGAATTATGATTAATTTAACCACTTGGTTTTAAACATGTCATAAGTCTTAATGTTAGTGTTTTTGATAATTTATTGAACCCTTTTTCATATTACATGATGTTCACACTGTGTGTTAGATAATTGAAAGACGTTAGCTGGAAACCCTACACCTAGGTTCGTGCTAACTGAGACTTATAGCCCACTTGGGAATTTCGGAGAATTAGTTCTACTTGTAGAGTTCAAACCCATGTTACAATGCAGTTATTAGATCTACTGTTGATTTCCTATATGATTAGAGCTTTTAAATTGTTTAGTTATTATTTACTAACCAACGTTCAACTTCATGAATAAAATTCAGTCATCATTATGGGTTAGATAGACATAACATTAGTTGCTTTACAATGATCCATTTTTGTGAAAAGAAGGTATTCGTATACTTCTGCCCCCAAATGCCCTGGTACGGCCGAGAGTGGGGAGAGTCCGCTCTCCCTCTCGAAATGCTCTCACAATGCCACGCGTATATAGCCTCTGCCAGGGAAGTCCTACTCACTGCCTTCTCGCACCACGGGTGTTGTTTACAAAAATGAGAGGACGAAAAGCGAATGTCCGGCGCTTTAACCGGACCCCAAACCAATGGTGCACATGGGCTCCAGGATCCTGAAGGAACAAATGGCGTGTGAACCAATCGTTGGTCACCGGCTACCATGGGACTGAATCTCCTCACGATGCTCCACTGCCTTGTGGATCAGATCTTCAGGTCGAAGTCTCGGAGTGTGGCCCCCTAAGAAAACCACCTGCTTCGGTTTGGGCACCCGGGCAGTATCACAGCCCTCACACAAATCAATTGAGATTCGTGTGGCGCATATGTATTTGGTGCCTCCCTGTACCTATACTTATGTGTTAAAATAAATAAATAAATCTGTAATCATCCTATAAATTGTTAATTAATTAATTTTTGCTTAACTTTATATTCTCATTTTCTTGTATAAATAGAATACTACTACTACTTTTGCAACAGCAGAAATCACAACGAAATCGTGTAATTTAGGAACAAATACTACTACTAATAATAATAATTCAGTTCCTCAATCAGTATCAGTCATATCATCATCATCATCATTAACGTCGTCGTCGTTGTTCAATCCCAATGATTCAAATGGTAATAATTACAATGAGGATAATATAGAAATAAATGAAAATGATTCTATACATTTTGATAAATTACTCAACGACGATATAGTATTACATTCGAAATAGAATAGATAATAAGAAATAATTATAAAGACCATAATTCTTAACTAATGTCACCATATCCATTATATATCCAGTTATGTATTCTTATGTTATTCAACTTCATTTTGTGATAAATGTACATCTTGTTTTTAGAATAAATACAACATATCAATTTTTTCAGGGTTGGGGAAGGGAGGGAGAGTATTTGTGACGTTAACTGTGATTCCGTTCATCATTATTGTTTATTCGGTTCTATATACACTTAACTTTTTTTTCTATTATTATCTAAATCGTTTATTTGTATTAATAACTTTTTTTGTGTTGATCATATTTATAAATATCCGTCATTTTATATTGTTGACATTTTGTGGTGTTTATGCTCTACCATTGTCTTATGCGATACATCAATGGAAAACTAAAGTGATAGGACAGTGGATAATATCATCGACCCATAGTCTCTTTCTCATGATCAACGTTACCAATACTTCTAATGCAAATACGTGTTTTTTTTTCGGAGTTTTCTACAAATAAAATGACTGTTCAGTGAATTTTAAGAATTTTTCCGACTTCTATGACAACTTTTATTGCCATGATGTGTTTGTGAATTTTCATCGACTGAGGTGGCTGGGACATGTGCTACGTATATTTATTCACCCTTTACGTCGATGGGTAATGTTTTTATTATACAAGAGTAGGTTGGAAATAAACAAGGTTATTAGTCCATAAAGTCATTGACTGTTTGTCTGAATCATTGTAATAGATACAGATTAATTGGTTGTGGTCTTCTCAATAACTGCAATCAGTGGCTGTAGACTTCACGTGACATTGATTAGTATCAAATACGATGGTATGAATGCGCCTTCCTCTCGTTTTTACGTTTCGGCTTTCATATATGTCCTTGCACTCTGTCTTTTCAAACTCCATTCTTAATGCTTAGTCTTTTGTGTTATTAGTGGCACTATATTATTCCAACCATTCTTGCTATACATTTTGTAAATTATTCATGCTAATGTAGTATGACAACTCGCTCCAGTGCCCTATGTTGATTGATTACCATGATGTTTTATGCTTCTATAATCATGGAAAGTCACGTGAAGCTTTGTCTATATTATTTTCCATTCTGACAACCACTGAAAAACACTTAGGGACTGAAATGTCTGCTAAAGTGTTCTAATATTTGTCAATATCAGTACATATTTCTAATCATCAAATTGTTTTTCGGTTCATAGGACAAGCTGGAAATCGAATTTGAACACAGTTCCGGTAACAGTTAGTGGCGGACTTTGGATGCGTTTTCTAACGACTTACGAGGAAGTGTCATGCGCTTGTCGAAAGTTACCCTGGAACTAACCAATCAAGTATCGGCTAACCAGGATTTAGATTTGTAAACGAGATGCATGTTAGGTAAACACGGTCAAATTACAAGAAATGTAGAGTTTCTAACCCTGGGTATCCTAACTCCAACACTACGATTGCCAACACTGCCTAAACATAGCCCTGGACATTGCAAGTTACTTGTTGACTACAGATATATCAGATCTCTCTCCTCAGTAGTCGGACGCTGTAGGTGAACTACAATCGTATCCAGATTTTTATGCAGTATAATATTGTGTATCAATAGATCTGTGATTCTGTTTCAAGAATCGCTCATAGTTTTGACAGTAGCTGTCAACTCCACTGTTGTATATTGCGGTCGTGGCTTCATTCCGATGATTACCTACAAGCTCAGGCGGTCCGTTAAACACCATAATAGTTGGTCCTTGCTTGTTTGTAGGTCCTTTGACGGCACCTCTTACGGCCTGTGATTTGCTGCGCCTGGATCGGATTTGAGATGAGCGATTAATCAATGGTCTATGGAATGTCAGTAAAACTTCTTGTGGTGAGTCTAAAGTTGCTCTTTATGGAGAGGTCTTACATTTTGCCCCTGTAAATACGATATGGCTTGATCGATAACTGGCGTCATCATGATATTCCTTATGGTCCTGTCACTAGAAGCGGGAGCACGAATTGCCGTTACTATTCAGATTACAACCTCTCAGTCTGCTGGTCGTCCTTGTAGTTATAGTGCAAGTACTTGTGCCAATGCTATCACTGTGCATGCTAATCAATAGAATAAAAGTGAAACGTGTGACGATTCAGAGACAAAGTTAGAAAGAAGGACGTCTCGATGAAGAAAAATAATACAGGTAAGTGAATACATACTACACAAAACTGGAGCCTGAAAGACAGCTGGGATTGTGGCGTTATTTTTAACAACACTAACAAACAACCTCGCGTGAGTGCAGGGACTTATTAACAAGTCCTGTATTTGGATTTAAATAGATGTACGTATGCCGCAATTGAATTTACTAGGAAGAGGGTAGATGATCATGACACCTAAACCTACCCTACGGCGTTTTGACCTTGATACGGTTAGAGTTATCGGATTTGTTATTGTGGTTGACTACCAGTGCTCAGTTCGTATCCTTGAAAGTGTTTAAACAGTTTAACACCATAATGGAAAGGTGAATACTTCGAGTTATTGATGTGAGATCACCTCAGACTCAAAGAACATGAGCTAGTGATCTCGAGGTAGCCTTTAGCTCACGTCCCATTATGATACTCCAAAAATACCTAGTTTGCAGTCGGTATACAGATAACCGAAATGTGCTGTCTATAAAAATAACAAAAAGATCAAGGTCAACAGCAATAACTACTCGGGAGTTTAGTTCTAAGTTCATTCCGCTGACAAGACTTTTTAAACAAATCAATTTTCATTCTCATAGACATTTTGTTTTGTCCTTCAAGTAGTTGGTTTGATTTCCATCTGACTTTTGTTTATTCGTCACTCAATCTTCAACTTCTTGTCGCATGGTCACTTCCCAGGGGACAAGAACACAGGCTGATCGGCCAGTCATGCTCAACGTTGAGCCCATTACGTGTGCACATCAGTTCAAGTTGATATAGTCTACTAGCAGAGTGAGATGCAATTGTTAGAATGAATCACAGAGTAGTTGAAGTAGTCATAGTGAAAGTAGTAGTAGGAAATGTTGGACACCACAGAAACGATTCATGATAATATAAATTATCGAGATGTAAAGATTACGAAGAATTCATAAGCTGAGAATCTAGTTTAGGACAAAGAATGGGTCCACTTGCTCCATTACAATCGACGTTGAGTTGTGTCATTCAAGTCTCTAACCATTATGAAACGGGGCGAAACACACGTCTTGGATTCCGCTGCTAGCCACCATCCAACTCTGCTTCTAACCTCTAAACGTTGGTCACGATGATCTCGCTGACCTTAACCTGTTCTTCTGGAGGTACCTGAAAAGGAAATTGGATTAGAGGTGGTCTTAGTGACCTGAGAGCGTGACCGCAGTGCCCAAGGGACAGCTGCTTGAGGTCGGTCACACACGACCTTTTTATGAGTAATTTTTGTGTTAGCTCCGTACTTGTTGAGTCCTTACCGCCGGAGACGGATATCCGTGGGATAAGGCGAGGTATGCATTTTTTTAGGGTCGACCTTTTCTAACCCCACCCCACCTTGTGGGAAGGCAGCATCGCTGTCATGCTGGTTGTCTGAAGGAAACACCTTACTGCTGTCACACCTCTTTGCAGTCAGCAGTACGACTTCGCCTTCGGACCTTGGTTTTGTTGCTTTTAGTCTTACCGCTCTTCAACCGACCTGTCTGGCATGGTAGGACCTTGAGGAACGGTTGTTCCAGCCAGTATAGCTCAGTTGCTTCATCACGATAGGGAAGCCCGACCACCACGTCAAGGTAGCAACAACGTTGTAGCTGACTGACTGACCTTAACCTGATAATATACACCAGTTAGTCTGAATCAGTTTAATCTTCAAAGACTGGTCCTGTGTTTTAGTTTGTCTGCCGCTAGCTTGCTTTCAGCCTACTTCTTAACCAGACAACACCGATTGTCGAGATAGAAGTTGATTAAGCATAAGCAGCACACTTCTCAACCACCTTAGTTGGTGAAGGCTGACTGTCTGATCGATTCGCCACTCTTACCTAGTAACTTATTCCTAACTTTAAGAAAATATCGTCTCTATTTCTTGACTTAGTTTCTAGTAAGTAGAGCGTATAGTGACACAGATACAAAAATTTACCTAGGAACATCATGTAGTTTCTGATTTGTGAGGATATCCCTAGACCGATTTCAGAAACTCAAAAATCTATTTCCTCTCCAGTCACACCTCCACCGTTGTCAGGCGGGGTTTTAGAGCAGAATAGGTTGTATGTGGTTTACACTTCCAGATGGTTAAGTAATAGTGAACAAGGGTATTCTCAGACCCGAAACGAGGCTCTAGCTGTGGTTCGAACAGTAAAAACGACTACATAAATACTTGTTTGGTATAAAATTTCACATTGTGACTGATCATCAGCTTCTCAAGCTTATTTATTACCCAATCAAGTGGCTTTAACGGCCATCCCCCGACATGATCCAGCGATGGAATTTAGAATTGACTGTTTATGGTTTCACTTTTGAACACCTAGTGGAAGTAAACATACACTTTGCCGATTTTTTGTGGTGCTATTCATGTTTTAAAAGATTGTATGCCAGTTCAGTACTGCTTACTGATATGGCAGAACATGTATTGGATGCTGAAAATAATTTTAGAATTGTAATAAATACGTTCTGTCAATACCCGGTAAAGTCTTCAACAGAGTGTTACTGAACAGGATGAAAGACGCATTTGACGCTCAACTTCGAGATCAACAAGCTGCATTCCGTAAGGACCGGTCGTGCACAGACCAGATTGCGACACTATGGATCATCGTCGAACAATCAATTGAGTGGAACTCGTCACTCTACATCAACTTCATTGATTATGAGAAGGCATTTGACAGTGTAGATAGGAGGACGTTATGGAAACTCCTTCGACACTACGGAGTTCCTGAGAAGATTGTCAACATTATCCGGAACTCATACGACGGACTACAGTGCAAAGTAGTGCATGGAGGACAGCTGACAGACGCATTCCAAGTAAGGACCGGAGTAAGACAAGGTTGTCTACTCTCTCCCTTCCTGTTTCTTCTGGTGGTCGACTGGATTATGAAGACCTCGACATCTGAGAGAAACTACGGCATACGATGGACAGCTCAGAACCAATTAGACGACTTGGACTTCGCAGATGACCTAGCCCTCCTATCCAATACACACGAACAAATGCAGATAAAGACAGCCAGCATAGCAGCAGTCGCTGCATCAGTAGGCCTCAACATACACAAAGGGAAAACCAAGGTCCTCAAATACAACACGGAGAACAGCAATCCAGTCACTCTTGATGGCGAAACCCTGGAAGACGTGGAATCCTTCACATACCTGGGAAGCATCGTCGATAAACAAGGAGGTTCAGATGCAGACGTCAAGGCGAGGATTGGCAAAGCTAGAGCGGCATTCCTTCAACTGAAGAACATATGGAACTCAAAACAACTTTCAACCAATATCAAAGTCAGAATCTTCAATACGAACGTCAAGGCAGTTCTACTGTACGGAGCTGAAACTTGGAGAACTACAACAACCACCATCAAGAAGGTACAGGTATTTATTAATAGCTGTCTACGCATGATACTCAACATCCATTGGCCGGAAACCATCAGCAACAGCCTTTTGTGGGAGAGAACCAACCAGCTTCCAGCTGAAGAGGAAATTGAGAAAAGACGATGGAAATGGATAGGACATACATTGAGGAAATCATCAAACTACATCACGATACAAGCGCTAACTTGGAATCCTGAAGGGAAGCGGAAAAGAGGAAGGCCAAAGAACACATTACGTCGGGAAATAGAAGCAGATATGAAAAAGATGAATAAGAACTGGAAAGAGCTTGAAAGGATTGCCCAGGACAGGGTTGGGTGTAGAATGCTGGTGAGCGGCCTATGCTCCTTCACGAGGAGTAACAGGCGTAAGTAAGTAAGTAAGTAATAAATGCGTTGAAAGGAGATTGAAATTTTTAGTGCAACCGTATGTTTGGTGATTTTTAAATAGGAAAAAAGGCATATCACTATGTCCTGAGGGATTTCCGCATTTCAAAGTCAGAGTAATAATTCCCGAAATACTTATGTCTGCTCTATTGGACCACATGTACTCCACCCATCTGAAAGCAGAGAAAATTTAAACATTTGTTCATCAGACTTATTGGTGGCTTGAGATCGATAATAATGCGTTTAAAAACGAAAAATGCCCAGCTTGTTTACACATGTTATCGTACAATTAACCCTAGTAGGAATCATTGACCTGCATCTTACGAAACCTGGCAACTTATTCTTATGGATGACTACTGAGTTTCCTTAGTGTTGTTCAATACTCCAAATGATACTCACGAATAGCACTTGCAGAAACTCAACTCAAAGAGCATTGACGGATATATTGAAACCTGAAGAGAGACCCGATAGAATGGCAGCGGGTTGTGTAATCCATTTCACAGAAATTGTTTAGCATTTGTCTTAATTATGCTGGATACCATCATCTATTTACAGCTCCATGAAGTCTTAACAGAAAAGTTAGTCCAAACTTAAAAGAGTGCTACCACAGTCTGGTTTTATCATGATCAAGTTACCTTATGTCTAAACTCCTCAATAGGACTGAACTATATAGCCAGCTCCGAAACAAATGGAATGGACCAATCAGAAGGTCGACGACTACTGTCAAAACTTTGAGCGATTCTTGAAACAGAATCTCATATCTTTCGATACATAGTATTATGCGGATTATCTGTATGTATTGATATGATTCAGACAAGCAGTCGGTGACTTTATGGATTGGTAACGTTGCTTATATAATTAAACATTACCCGTCGACGTAGAGGGTAAATACATAGACATCATTATCTTCAAAACATGGTGAGCCTGCACTATCTCTTTGCAGAATAAAGTTTCCCTTCCCAACTGATATACATTATCTGACACAGATGGGTGATTAGATAAAACTTTCAGTTCCAAACAAGTTATTTTTAACCTTTTTTCTAGTGTCTGACCTCAGCATTTTCTTTTGTAAGCTTCACTCCACTACTTCTGAAAACCTTCTTGTCAAAGGATTCTTACCTGGTTTATAATGGAACATGGATACTAGTAATCATCACAAACAACAGATAACTAGCCGAATGACATGCATTTGGCACCATCAGGTAAAGTTTGAAGTAATACATTGAGTTGATGATGGTCATTTGAGTTGAGACATTATGATAATTAGAAGTATTTGAATTATAGTATGAACTAAGAATCCCAGGGATAACGCAATTGAATCAAGAAGTACTACACAAGCACCAACGAATGTACTGTATTTAGAATTCGAAATCAAACATTCAACAAGTACAAAGGAGTCATTAGTTCATTCAAACACCACATCCGCCACAGCTTAAATTAGAGTCTAAGTGTCTGTAATCAATTGTACGTCTTCTCCTCAAGTTCATGCTGTGTCTGTCCGACAATGTATTGAATAAAGACTCTGTATTATTTGATTTCTGGGATTGTGTACAATCATCATGTCGGTTGAGTACTGAAAGTATTGCTACCTAGAATTTGAACCATAGACATTCAGACTATCCTCCCCCACGAAATAATGTCGGATCTTCATATCCCCAAGTTATGAATAATGTGGCTTCATTTAAAACATTTTTCTCAATTTGACTAGAGTAAACATTAGAAGTGAATTTATGATAAGGACAAACAATAATTGATATGGAATCATCTGAATTGTAATCAAACTCTAACTCATTTAATACTCGTGCTTCGCATTGAACAAGTTTCTCACAAGAAACAAATGCATCATGAGGACAAATAATATTTGATATGACATCAAGATTCGATTCTTCTGAAATAGTTTCCTCGAATTTATTAAGAATGTCATTGCAGAGTAAAGGATCGTTAGAAAAATCAGCATCAATCAAAACTACATCAGTTTTTTGATCATGATTAGGTTCATCCGAAATATTTTCACCAGACTTGTAAGAAATTTCACCAGAAATATGTGAATCATTAGGAAAAACCATATCTGGTACAATAACATGAGAAATCTGATAGGTTGATTCATTAGAAATTGTTGTCTCGCAAGAATCTTGAGTTTCATTTAGCTCTGAACTGCTATATGACTCTAAACTGTCTTTTGAAATCGTCGATAAAGATACATGATCATTATAAATATTCAGATTAATAGAATCAGAATCGAAAGACTTAATATTAGTTGCAGCAAGATGAACAGTAGTATTACAAACTGACTGAATATGTCCAACATCAACACATTTAAAGCACTTACAATTACGAAATTTACATGAATTAAAAGGGTGGAACCTGCCACAGCACAAACATTGACCAAACTTGTGCCCATCCTCGTCAACTGCATCGCAATTCCCAAATGAATTATCTGCATAAACTTGAGTATGAACTGGGATGGGGCGACGTAATGTAGTGGAATTTTTTATATCCTCATGAATTATTTTACGAAATCTCCCTTTACCGCATTCGAAATTTGTATACTTAGCATAGTCTAGAAGTAGTTCCTTGAGAGTTGTATAAGGAAGAGAAATGGGCTTTTCCGGTAAAGCCAAAATTTTTGTTAAGCTATATGCTTCTTTTCCGATGAATGTGAGAAAATGTGCCACAATATTAATATTCTCATCATCTTCCTTGGTCATAGCCCAGATTTCGAACCTTTCAAAGTAATCCTCATAAGCATCAAAATCCGAATGAATATCTAACTGTTCCATCGCAGGCCCCATCGCGACGCCAATATGATAATTAGAAGTATTTGAATTATAGTATGAACTAAGAATCCCAGGGATAACGCAATTGAATCAAGAAGTACTACACAAGCACCAACGAATGTACTGTATTTAGAATTCGAAATCAAACATTCAACAAGTACAAAGGAGTCATTAGTTCATTCAAACACCACAGACATTTATAAAGCATTTCTGAAGTTAAACGAAATAATCAAACGGAAATTATGCCTCATCATTATAGCAGATTGAAAAGCAACATGAGAAATTTAGTTTTACAATAGCGATGTGATATATCCACGATAATGCTACACTAGACCTCAGTACGAATAAGTATTGATTTAAAGATGATAGACCTCATTATACCCATCTGACGAAGCTGAAATATTTTCGAAGTCTAGGCATTTGTTCCATTATTTTTGTTCTTTATGCAAATCTCGGTTCTCTTAAATGGCTTAATCCAGAAAACAGCGGTTCAAATCTCATTTAATGATATTCAGTAATAAAGAATCCTGTTTCATTGATAAATAAGTGAAAAAATGCAACTCAGAACCAAAATTTTGACAGCTTTTGACTTTAATTTTTATGGTTTATCTAAATCCTTTTTACTTATTCCATTAAAGCCGGATAGTCGTCAATTCGGAAAATTGAATTACATGCTTGTTTGAACTGTTCAACGACGTTGGTTCTGAAAGGTCATTTACAAACGAGGTCTTCATTTATCGCGTCGATGGCTTGCCAATCGGTCTTGATAGTTGCTGGGCGTATTGACCCAGAATCGAATCAAGAGAAGCTATCAAAGCTTCTTTACGATGGTAAGTATTTCAGATTGGTAAAAGGGTTGCACTGAGAATAAGTGTATGCGTTTCCAATGCACTCATGCTTCAAATATATCTTAAACATGGGTACACTTATATAAGTGTAGTAAAGTTTTGGTATCTATTGTGCGTTTTCTATCAGGTTTGCAATTAAATCATGCAGTTATAGAACCCGAAAATATCGTTTGGAAGGTTAATGGAATCTTCGAAATCCTAACTTCAGACTGAAAAATTCTACTATATGGATCAACTTATACCAGAATAGCTAATAAACTGACAGTTATTCCGTAACAATCATTTGGGTATTTTACAAAAAAACTGTCAAATCTCATTTAGCTTCGTTGAATCTGCGTTTCCGAATCCTATTCTTATTGTTTATGTGTTGTATCTCGATTTCCCGATTTTGGGGAATATTTTATTCGTTTTGAAGAAGTGGCACACAAACTCCAACATTTTCCAGATCCGACAAAATCTATAAAACTTTGAGGAAGAACATTGGACTTTAAAAACCCCCAAAATTTCACCAATATTCCTCCAAATTTCCCCAAAATAGGGAGATTGGCTAGATTAGGGATCGTCGTGTAATTGTGAGTGCATAATATCTTCATTAGTCCACATAAGGCCGCATATTTTGTTAAGAGTTTTCTCGTAACTACGCAAGTATCATTTCAGCTCGATGCCAGTGTGTGTATAATGTGCTGTTATAATACACGACTAACTTTGGGGTACTACCAATATGTCGGTAGCATATTTCCAAAACCACCGATAGAGACATCGTCAAGCTTTATAGAGTTGTAGAACATCTTCCAAAATATTTATACACCAAAGTGTAAAGTATCTAATACTTATTTTGTTGTTAATTTTATAACATATCGCATCATGTCATTTAAGGTCAATCAAAGCCGAATTTTGAATGTAAACGTTTGATCTTGCAAACTAGTTCTTACCACCAAAGTTATTTCTGTGCCTTTCAACAATCACTATCGTTTGTTTAATTTTTATTTTATTTTCCAATACTCAAATCTTGTGAAATTAACGACAGAACCCTAAATTTAGGCGATTTTTGTGCCTTGTGAGTTCACCTCTATTTCAGAATGGTCTAGGAAACATGTCTTCCTGTAATATCTAGACTTCATTGGAAGTCAGATCTCGCTATTGCTTGATTGATCTAATATATATTATTGATTGAACGCAAAGTTAGTGCCAATTCAGGAGTTTAAATTCAATATTTCTTCATCATTATATTTTGAAGTTTTCTCAATGTCTATGACATCTGCATTTCCAAAAAGCTTGTAACCATTCATTTAAATATAAGTATCCATTGGTTTCCGTCCTGTGGTCCTTGGGGGGTTTTTTATCATAGTTGCTGTGATACATTTTATGATGCATATCTAATTTAGCTATCACCTGGTGCTTCACAAAACTGGTTCTCTGTAGTGCCCAATTATTTACCTACAAAGATAAGACATATTGGTATGATTTGTGATTAGTAAAGAAACATGCTATTAATTGGTGGGTTACTGTGCACTTGAATCATTGGTAACATCCCTTCTACACCCAATTTACTTACTATCTATTTTCTCATTTTTTCGTATCAGCGGATGATTCTTCAACTGATTAAATCAAACTTGCATTTATTGATAAGTCTTGTTCTAGTTATCTCGAACGCTTCCACAATCATTTCGACGGGACTTGGTAACATTGAGTTAGGCAGTGTTGACTAAATATTCTCTATTTAAAACGAGTGCTCTACACTTTAATGTTCATTTAAGGCCTTGAGAATTTCTCTTTCAAGATAACAATGACCATTATTTTCTATCAATGTTACTGTAGTATATTATTTGCACTAGCTTTCGTCGTTCGGATGCTGTATATATAAGAGATCTCAAATTCGAAGCTCTGTTTTTGAACTTGTTTACATAAACATTTAGTATACAACACAATAAAGTGTTTGGATGTGCTAGCAGCCACCTAACCGCCCTGATATGTTGCTGATGTTTTTAAAAGTTGTTGAGTCAAAAACTGATTCATTGCAAGCTTTGTAAATGTTTTAGATTATTTTAGGATACAATGTGTTGTTTTCGTTTATTGAGATGTGAATTTTCAATAAATGGATTGGAAGACACAGTGGAATCCTGACTTTTGTTGTCCGTATTCCAGTTTTACACCGGTTTAAATTAGGAAGTAAGATAGGCTACAAGGCCATTGTATTCTTGATAGATTCACCCAAAGAGAGTTAGTGAGTGGTTCACGGTTTGTAGATTTAGACTTGAAGCGATGCACATTTGTCCGAGGTTCTTTGTTGCTTATGACTAGGTGAATAAAATGGTTTTAAAGTCAGTGTATAGTTCAGACTTCAGTACCCAACTGTACTGTCATAAAGTTTTCTATGCTAGTGATATGCTGTACTAGTTTATGGGTAGCTACGTGTCAATTTGCTATGTGTTTTGCTGCTTTTCACCGTCATCATGAGTGATAGTTCAAATCAATGCTCTGATCCTCGATAAATAATTAATAGCAATCCTATGTTGAAAACAAAACATCTGAATATGTAGCTATAATGGTGTGACGTGGTTGACCAGTTGTTCAAGGTTCTGGTCTGATAATATTTGGGGACTGAGCTGGTATAAATAACCTTAAGATATGTGTGTTTTATATTCAATAACACAAACGTCTACTGGTTTTATTGAATATACTACTAAGCACTGATCAGATTTCTTAGTTCGTTTTCCTAAAGACTGGATTGGCAAACCACTAAGTTTTTGTTGAGTTTTAATTTGTAAAAGTAGTGTCATTATTTTTTCGTTTCTTCTATATTTCCTGTTTCTGCTTTCTATAGGCTTATTGGCTGCATTTGGTGAGGATCTGGACAAGTTAGATGCACAATTTTTAAATTGTTTAGCCAAGCCTGTGAATGCAATCGATAGTAAAGAATGTGAGTTGTATGTATTGCGCTTTTCAATCAGTGATATGTATCATAGTCCTTTCCACTCATTTCATTATATTATTTTATATTCATCTTAATTTATTTATCTTTCAACTCTTAAATTAAAACAAAATTTTAAAGGAATCTTCTGGTGAGTGATATAGTATTATCATGTCTATTTGAAATTACTATCAAAATATGGACTCATTCAGAGTTTGATGTAATAAGTAAACATTTTAACTAGATCTATTAATGTGGTCCAATTTTGTGGCTGGAAATATAAAGTGATATTTCTCGAAGTCATTTTCAGCAGTTCACCTGTGCCTAAGTTTTATATGTTGTTCTAATCATTTCTTTATTATATTCAGTCCATTTAGACGTCTTATTATTCGATGTTACTCTATGCTTGTAAAATTGCTTTTGATTATAGAGAACATCCATGGTTTCCTGGTATTTGGTGATTAATACATTTGAACTATGTCAAGGATGATATACAGAAATGTTAAACCAGTTGACTAAATAAGTTAAATAACAGGAGGAGTTTTGCGGATATTATAATAATTTTAGTAGTTGAGATCATAAGTCAATGAAAGCTAGATCACCATTGAAAACCCGGAAGCACTGGATTGCCGTTTCGTCCTAGTATGGGACTCTTCAGCAGTGCGCATCCACCATTTCGCCTCGAAAGATTTGAACCCAGGACCTATCAGTGTCGCTCGCCAGCGCTTAGCCACTAAACCACTGAGCTGGCATCCAATTGTGTTAATGTCTATCTTCAACCAATTCACAAAATTAAGCGACACGTTCACTATTGTCATCAGTGAGTTACTATCTCACAACAAACCCGATTGAACTCCACTGATCACAGTTTCTCACTAGAACTCAAGGAAATATCTCTTGAATCCAGTTAGTAGTGAGTAGCACAAAATGTCCGTCCAGTTCTTCCAGATTTTCTATAGTGATGTAGGTTCAATTGACTCACGATGTCAACTATTAAACTATAGATGTTTGGAAAATTCTGATTCCCTTCTTAGCGTATTGTAAAATATACTTGACCTAAAATCTATCATTCACTATACTACTGAGAAATATCTTAAATGTACTGAACTCAAAAAATTACTTCAAATAGATCTTACACAATCATTGAGACAGAAAAACATGCGTTTTTTTTCCAGAGATTAATCCTCTTTTCGATAAGTTGACTGTACAATTATAAATAAATACTTGTTTCCAATGACAATCAATAACATGTACATTAATAGTAACATTGACTGATTGAACATAGTAACAGTGAAATAAACTAACCTAAAATACTAAAATGTGTTATTCTTGTCACGAAATTATAAATAAAAAAAAACTAGCTAGTTAAAGATTAATTATTGTGAGAAGAAGATTACGATGCATGCTAAGATAAAATATAGAAATTGGAGTGAAATTTAATCAGAAAGGAGGATAAAATTGAATCGATAAAGAGTAAAAGATCAATAGAGTAGAACAGATTAGGATAATGTCTTTCTTTTTCTTTTTTTTTATTTTATAAGAACTGTATGTTAAGATAAAGAGTTTGAATAAGTTTGTTTTGGATAAACATTTTTAGTTTTTTTCAGAAATTGGAATCATATTGGTTCTAATCCGTTTCTAACTAACTATGAATAATGAATTATATTTTTAATTGAATGAATTGATAAGAAGTTCATTTTCAGAAGGGATTGTGCGGAGATTTTAGAAATTTTTCTGGTTGAAATCATGAGTCCATTGAAGCTAGACCACCATGGAAAACCTGGAAGCACTGGACGTCCGTTTCGTCCTAGTATGGGACTTCTCCATGTTAGTGCGCATCCACGATCGCGCTCCTCGCGAGATTCAAACCCAGGACCTACCAGTCTCGCGTGCGAGCGCTTAGCCACTAAACCACTGAGCTGGCATCCAATTGTGTTAATGTCTATCTTCAACCAACTCACAAAATTAAGCGACACGTTCACTATTGTCATCAGTGAGTTACTATCTCACAACAGACCCGATTGAACTCCACTGATCACAGTTTCTCACTAGAACTCCAGGATATACCTCTTGAAGCTTGTCGTATGCCCTAATGCTATTATCGTAACGTTCGTGTTGTCTGATCTGCCAATGACGATGGGACAGTGCATGATGTTATTGTTGTATGCTAGATTCCATGGTGGTCTAGCTTCAACTGACTCATAATCTTAACCGTTGAAATTCATATACAATTGATTATTATTGTAAAAGACAGATAGGATAATATTAATGATTATACACCTTCAAAATTGAATTCACTGAACTATTCTTTCTTCTTATAGGATATTTATTACTTTTTATTCTCTTTAAAAAATAAAAAAAAAAGAATTATTTCCCTTTATTCATTATGCATCGTTGTTTACTTTAATAAATTGTTAAATATTTTCAAGTACAAAATGTCAAGATGATAATACTTAACCTTTTCTCCATCTGTCATTTGACAGGGTCATTATATTATCTTGAATACACAAAGTCACGTGTATGTGTGTGTGTGTGGGTGTGGGTGTGGGGTGTATTTATGTGTTTCCTGAGTCATTACAATGTAATATAATATGTACATTCATGTGTATTTGTATTTATTCTTTGTAAATGATGCATGAAATTATTCCTGTTCCCTTTTTCTTCATGGTTTTTGACTGGTAATTTATTTTTCATTCTATATGTATTTCGAAATAAGGATATGAGAGAGACCGAAAAATATCATTTATAGGAGTCTATATGATAAGTGAATTATGCCTGTGTTTACACGAGTATCTATTACTCATGGAACAAATTACTTTTTATTATAAAGATATGAGATAGTAGAATTTTTTTTTTTAAATATCATTTTGATTAGTGTTTGACAGTGTCTATCTTTCTCAGTATTCTTTGTGTTTGTCTACATGCTGAGTAGAATGACTCAGTAATTGTAATATTCAATTTGACTATGGTATGAGTCTGGAACCCTTTCTATTTAGTATTTTAGTTTGAAGTCACCCCTTGTAGGATAGTGAGCTAGTAGTTAAACAACCATCCGCTGCTTTTTAATCATTATGTTGCAGGTATATAGTTATCTCCAGCTTCAGTTCAGGCAACCTGTTTGTGTCCCTAGGTTGTACTTAAAAAGTGTGAATCCATGAGTACATAAACTTACACTTGATATGACTGAAATACATTATACATAAAAGTGTAATTGTAAGATAAAGACAATCAGTGACTTCATCAAAATTTTATAATAACTTTTTGGTATATGATATTGTTGAAACGGATTACATAGTTTTGTGTACATATCCCTTGTATTCAGCCATATCAAATTATACAGAGGTATTAGTATTGATGTTCTAAGTTGTGATTTACATCTCATTAAGATTTCGGTTTATTCAGGTAATCAATTTTCTATGAAATTCAAATCGCATTCAATATTTCATTATCAATAACTAATAATTATGATTAAAAAAAAACTATTGAAATGTCCAGACTTGGAAGAAATGATTGATCATTTCCTATTTTGAATGAGATACGAAGTGATATCAGTCTGCAAAAACGTTTTTGTCTTAAACTATCAGTACAACGTAAGATAATTCTTATAAAGTCAACTTACTGATGATGTTTATTTTCAATGATTAAGATCATCAGTCAGTTGAAGCTAGACCACCATGAAAAACCTGGAAGCACTGGATGGCCGTTTCGTCCTATTATGGGACTTCTCAGCAGTGCGCATCCACGACCTCACCCCCTGCGAGATTCGAACGCAGGACCTGTTTATTTTGCTACTCAATAAACTACTATCACCTCTTCGTTTGATTTTGTAATCATTAGATCACTATTAAGTCATGTGTATGAAGTAAACGAAGATGTCATTTGGGGAAGACCACTTTAATGTTTATTGAGAAATTACAGGGTATTTTACTAAGATATGAAAAGCATAGATTAAATATTTTATTTGCACATCTTCCATCAGTTTTATCCTGCAAAATTCATTCCTGTTGTTATTACATTTACTCTCTGTTTACATTCTTGTTTTATTTAATTCGATTTTATCAACCGTCTGCTTCCGGACATTCCACTTGTGGTTGGTTTTACATACTACTTGTGTTTGTCAACGCAAGTAGTATATACAAGATGTACATTATTTATTCTATAGGAAATATATTCTATAAGAATATACATACCTTTTGTTGTGTTGTTGTGAAACTTTTTTTATTTTTTATTGTTCTGCTTTTTTATTTAGTAGATTTCGTAAGCAGATTAGTTTTTTTAACTCTAATCGATCATCAATAGTAACCACTATCATACTTGTATAGTCCTTAGTATTGATCAAACTACTAGTTTAAGTGTTTAATGTAAGTTGATGGTTGCATAGAAACACAACGGAACTCGTGATCAAAGTTTATCTGTGTTATGATTCTTGGAAGCAATCTGGCTTACTTCCTTAGTAGGCATGTAGATTACTTCGTTCTCTGTAAGAATAAATATAAATGACCCCTTTCAAATTCATCATTTTACAAAAAGAATCAAAATTTACAGAATATTTTTTTATTATCACTTACTCTTATGTTTCTTTTTTGTTCTTATTGTTTATTCATCATTAATCAACTGTTGTTAATCAAGTGTAATTACCAGGGGGATAATTAATTATAGAAAGATGATAATTGAATTGATTTCATTAGTTTGTTATTGATGAAATGAATAGTTAACTGTATAGTTCTATATCATTAACCATTATTAAAGAATATTTCAATTCATAAATAGTTATGCTTCTGATGCTTTTAACTTTAAATGATCAACATTGTAGTAGTAGTTGTTGTTGTTGTTATTGTACTTTGGCTAATCTTAGGAATTTACTGATATAATACATGTGATACTATAGTATTCTAACTTGTTGAAAAAAAGACTCTTTTAAAATGTGTGTGTGTGTGCCTATAGTCAGGTTATTCTGTTTCTGTAACGTGTTAATAAATTAGTCATTTTGTTGATAGTTTTTTTTGTTT